ATTAGATGGTTCATTCTCTACTTACTACAATAAAAAATACAATTTGAATGATTGTAGACTTTATAACAAAACTAAATGTATTAAAATAATTCAAACCTAGATGTTGATGAAAACCTTTTGCACTTATACACGCTTTGTAGAGCTCAATAGCACCATCTTTGCCTCTTTTAATTCAAAAGTCCCACTTACAATCAATAACATTTTACTTTGGTTTTGAGAAAACCAATTCCTTCATTCCTTAACTAAGCACTAAACTCATTAGATGTGGCCCATCTCTAATTTGGATCGTTAAAAGCTTTAGTCACATTAGTAGATTCAATGGGTGTGGGTGTGGTGAGGAGGTTATGTTAAGTGGGAAAATCTTATATTGAAAAAATAGAAAGAATTTGTGTGGCCTAAATACAATGAAGACTACTTCATTTATTACCAATTGTTTTAGGTTATAAGCCTTGTGTCTTTTTTTTTTTTTCTTTTTTGAATAGCAAAAAGACAATATTATTACTTATTAGGAGAACAAATGGTACTCCAACCCTTTACAATTTCTTTCTTTACATTGCTTGTGATTTAAAGAACCTTGTTGCAATAAAAACTTACATCACTCTTATTTGATACATTCCTTATGATCTTCAGCCAATCTGTGATGCTTACTTTCCAGTCTTTCCTTTTGGCTTCTTGCCTTTATTCAAGCAAAGGAATTTAGTTGAATTAGCTAAAAAAATCCTTTCTACATTAGGCACTCCTATCTTTCACACAATCTTTCTTTGAGTTGCATGCTTTCTAGCCTTCTATTCAATTTCGCTGCTACATCTACTTTCCATGTGTAGAGCTCACGAGTCCAATAAATGTCCCAACACCAACATCCATCCTTCCATTGGCTCATTTATTTTATGTTATTTTCTTTGTCTTTTGGCCATATACATAGCCTTGGAACTATTGGAAAACCAGGCAAAAATGACAAGAACATATTTGACAGCCAATTGGTTGTCAAATATAAACACATATTTGACAAAAATACTGTCAAATATGCTTGATTGTCGATTATAATTGATTTTTTTGTTCTTATTCGACAGAACACATATTCGACAGAAGAGTTGTCGAATATGTACCCATATTCAACAGAAATTCTTATGCCGAATATGTATAATTGATAGCCATTAGGCTGTCGATTATGTTTTGAGATATGTAGGAAACAACGACGTTTCCTCTATATATTCGACAGCAATGTTGTCGAATATACCCCATGATTAACCCCCCGACCCCTCTTTCTTTCCCCATTTCTTTTTCTTCCTCTGCAGCGATTTGGTTCATTTTCTCCGACCTTATTCTTGTCGTTGCCATCGGTATTCTTGCTTCTTGCTGCGAGCCCTCTACTGTCAGAATATCCCGCCGATGACGTTGACGGTGAGTTGGCCCCTCTCTTGCGCAACGATTTGGTATATTTTTTTTCCTTGGATTTACAGTCAACATTTGCATATTTCCAAGATCCATCGCCTTTAAGCCACCACGCGCTTGCATCGTGGCTTTTGTGAGTTGCAGCACACTCTGTGTTTTTTTTTTTTTCATTTTGTTGTTGTTTCTTTCCTTATTTTTTCCTTGGATTTGAGTTTACAAGACCCCAATTTCATTTTTTGTAGGTCAAAATCCAACTTTTACCACCTTCATTATCTCCACAGCATTACCGTCCCCATTGGCAAAGGTAATTGAGATTTTTATGGTTTTTTTATACAAAATTATATTGTCTTATTTGTTGATTACTGTAGATTATTATTATTGTTGCATGAATTGTCAATAAATTGCTGTTATTTCTTTCAAGTTTTTGAGATTGAAATTCATACGTTAATTACTTGCTTGAAGAGCTTCTTTTTAGTAAATTTGTATATACAAAGTTATGGATTTTAGATTATTAAATTTGAGATTAAAATTAAGATTGAGATTGAGATTGAGGTCTAAATATCTTGAAATAGAGTGATATTTATATTGAATTTCTATAGTTACAAATTTATTATTTATTTCAAATTAGCTCAATCTGAGAGATTGATATTGAGATTGGGACGTGCATTATTATTGAACTAAAATGATATTTAGATTGAATTTTTATATATCAAATTGTTTATTTCAAATTATTGATATTAAAATCGGTATGGTAATTAAACTAGAATACTATTTATATTTAATATATATTTATAAAGTTACTAAATTATTTATATTGAAATTAATATATGTATGATTATTGAAATATAGTAGTATTTTTATATATTGAATTTATATACATAAAGAAATTTAATTTAAAATTATTAAGATTAAGATTGACATTTGTGGTTATTGACATGTATTGTTATTAGTTGATATGTTAATATACTTTGTCAAATTAAAATTCAAATTAGATAATTATATGATGGACAACAGTAGTTGGATAGATCGTCCTGTAGATGATAGTGGTTTTGTTATCGATGAATTTAAAGAGGGGGTGCAATTTTTTGTGAGATTTGCATTTTCAAGATAAATGTAGAAAATGAGGGAATCCTGAAATTTTCTCTGTGCATTTGTATAAGCATGGGTTTATGAATAACTATGGTTAAATACCTTTTTTGGTCCTTCTACTATAGAAAAAAGCCCTTTTTTAGTCCCTATACTGAAAAAATTCCCTTTTTGATCCTTACTGTTTGAAATCTAGCCCTTTTTAGTTCTTCTGTCGATTAAGTGATTGCCATTGTTTTAAAAATCGAACCAGATCAATCGGTTGAATTGGTCGGACCGATACTTGGTACTAGAAACGGGTCGAGTCAATATTCAGAACCAAGAAAGTGGTTGAACTATTCAAAACTGATTAAACCATTCAAATCGATGGTAATTGACAAACCATTCAACCGACCATTTTAAATCCTTTAGAGAATTTTCCTTAAATTTGCTACTCCCGGGGTTTGAACACAAGACTT